ACCCAGCTAATGACTTCATGTTAATGGTCTATATAAGTCGAGAGAAAACCAGGCTTCTGCAGAGTGCACTCGGAGCTGATCCAAGGGAAAAACTGCCTCCGAGAGGAGTAATATTGAGTGAGCACCCCAGCTATGTCGCAGGTATGGAAGGATATTAAGTTGGCTGGTGTGTTGCACCACATCTGACAATTATTGCACTATTTAATGATTCTTCTGGTTAAGTAGTTTGACAGTTAATGCTTTGTTAAACCTAGTGTTACTGAAAATTTTCTCAAATCATTGATTTTGCTAGTGACCAAAAAGCAACTTCTCCTATACTGGAATGACTGCAAATTAACATAACAATGTAAGCTATACTTTTTAGCTTAAACCACATTTGTTGAAAAGGAAAGAGTTTTTTTCTCTAGATTGTGCAGATATGGTGATAGATTTAAATGTAAAGGTGATTCCTGTTTTGCTTTTAGGCTAATCCCAAAGGCTATGAAATGTGTAAATGTGGGATTTTAGTTTATAGGTTTAACTTTTTGTTTCTTGCTCTATCTCCTTGAGGAAGAGAATTCCTTGAAGTGTACTGTTCCCTATGTAAAATGAGGCTTCATTTTAACAAAATACAGAAAAGCAATGAGTATGAAGGACTAAAAATTCTAAACAAAAGATAAAATAGATGTTTAAGACCCAAAGTCCTCACTTAACTTCAAATGTACCATGTAACCAATAGGTTAAAATCGTTCTCCAACTCCCCACCCCTATGCATTTTAAAGTATGTCTAAGAGTGGCTCAATTTCAAGATTGCTATGAATGTATAAAGAACCCAAAGAATGTATACTTGCATACAGATTTCCTAATGGACAGTGTTTTGTGACAGAGCTGAGACGGTAAGAAAGCTTTATAGGAGCAATACCGCAAGGCTAGAGAAAAGAATCTTAAGAAGCATTAGGAAAAAATTCAGTTCTGCTTATTCTCTTTATTCCAAGTGAAACAGACTTGAAGGCAATGTTGGAGATCTTGTAAACTAACACTTTGTGCTATTGACAATTGGAGATAAACCAAGGCTGGATTGTTGTGCCTACTAAGAATAGTATCTGGCTAAGATCCTGTCACTTGTGACTGGCAAGCAATTGAAAATAGTTCTACTCTCTGCCACTCACAATAATACCCGGAATGCCAGCAGGCCTGAAAGCTTCTTTTCTTAGGCTGTCTTCACCGCCAAAGAAGGTGTGTTTACTGCAGGATAACTAATGTTCTTTAGCTCGCCTGCTGTAAATTCCTATTGGAGACAAGGCATGGTAGCTTTTACCACGAGATCAACTACAGGTTGTGGGGGAGTGGGAGGGGAAGAGTTGGTTTTACCAACCTACCACATGGTAAAAACTACAGGTGCGTTACTACACTAGGGTTTTACAGTGGGATAGCTAATGCACATTCATTACCCTGCTGTCAACACACACCATTTTTGGCAGTAAAGACAAAGCCTTAGAGTTAATAATTTCTGCCATGGTAAGTTAGGAAATCCTGGTGCCTGGCATTTAAGATTTAAGAAGGGATTCCGCAGGTTTCATGCTCACTCTGTTCATGAAACCAGTTTCCCCCTGTTCTGGTTTAGAACCTGCACCCACACTAAAAGGCCTGTGTATTACTCTCTTTGTTGTCCAGTTGTGGGGCTGTGAGGTATAGAAATAATTTACACTGCATGACAAATACCAATACAGACATGCACATAAAACCTGTGCCTATAGTAGTTACTTAGCCTCTCTCTTGAATAATCAGTTAACAAATGGCACTAACCATTTGCTGAGAAACTCTGTTAAAAGGTTTTTTTTTTTAGTTTTTATGCCTTTGCTTTCTTTGGCTGCTGTATAACATTTTCCCCAGAGGCCTTGAGGACATTTTGGTTCCCACAGTAAATTTCAGTGACATTGATCGCAGGCTATGCTGAGGCATTCTTCTGTGTTTGTAGCCAAGAGAGAATATGCAAGAGTCTCCAGTACAACCAACTTTCCCACTGCCAAAAGTCATGAGCGTGGATGCTGCTTGGAACAACTATTGAAATCATTCTCACGCTTGGGATCAAGAGAATCCATTTCCCTAAATTACCTGGTCTCTTTTTTTGGTCCCCAATCTCTAGAAATTCATCCATTGTCCCCCTTCCACCAAAATAAGTTCTCTGTAGTCAGTCAGCAATGACTGACTAAAGTTAAAATAAGGAAAGAGGATATAGCTACAGTGTGTCAGGCTTTTGGTGCTCAAATAATACACAACTACTCTTAAATCAAACACTTTGGCTATTGTTTTTAATTCTTCAATTGCTTCTCTTGTGAGGATGGGGTTGGACTAATCGAATTGCATGCCTGTATGTTAGTTATCACTGTGCACTCCATGCCAGAAGGGAGTGGTGGCATCATGTTTGTCATTCCTTGAAATAGCACCCTGAAGGCAAGACTTTCAGGAATGGTGTGTGTGTGACTGGCTGACACTGACCAATGTTGTGTCATTCCTACAACTTCCTCTTTTGACGGTGATGCATTCAGCTATTACCATGCTCATTGGCTAGAAGAAGTCTAGGTAGAAAAATCAGATCTGTACAACGTACAGTACTTTCAAAAATATGGTAAATGGCAACCCTCAGTTACAACTGTTTCTGCTGTAGGACTTGAGATTTTATTCATCATTTATTTATTCACTCCAGATTATGAATTAAGACACGTAAATATGCTCAGAACCTGTAGCCAATACCACTGATTGCTTGGTTTTCACTACTAAATTATACAAACTCTCTGGTAAGGCAAAAGAAGAGATTGGATGGGAAAGAGAGAGCTTTTAGTTACCAAAAGACTAATAATTTTATGGACAATTTTATATTTAATCTGGATCAATGAAGTCCAACCAGAAGTTTTCTCCAAAATATTATTGATTCACAAGTCAGTAGAAAGATGCATAAAACAAATTCTAGAGAAATAAATAATGAACACTTAGAAAGTTTAGACTCAGGGTATGTCTTCACTGCGGAGTTATCCCAAACTCTTACTTTGGTGCTGCCCCTAATCTCCACACACACAAACCTCTGACCCACATTTTAGTGGTGCTTTCAACCCAGTGTAGGTGCCCCATCTTGGGCTGCAGGCCAAAGCCCCAGTGAGGCTTTGCCTTGGGTTGATAAGCTACCCACTTTGCAGTGAAGATATAGGCTAAGGGCATGTCTACACTTACCTCCGGAGCGATCGATCCAGCGGGGGTAGATTTATCGCGTCTCGTGAAGATGCGATAAATCGACCGCTGAGCGCTCTCCCGTCAACTCCGGTACTCCACGAGAGTGAGAGGTGCAGGTGGAGTCGACGGGGGAGCATCAGCAGTCGACCTACCACAGTGAAGACACCACAGTATGTAGATCTAAGTACATTGACTTCAGCTACGTTATTCACGTAGCTGAAGTTGTGTAACTTATATCGATTCTCCCACCCCCACCCTGTGTAGACCAGGCCTAAATCACTGGAGTGCTTGGTAGTCTTCCAATATCTTCCCACAATTCCCCCCATGTGCCCAGAAGGACGGAAAAGTTCTCCCAGAATTTACTGGGAAAGAATCATAGAGCAGCTCAGTTTACTGCAGTGCTAAGAACTATGTGAGATGACCCTGGAAGTCCTAGCAACACACCTGGGTAAGTGTGGCATCAGTGTAACTACACTAACTCAGTTTGCAGGATGGCTGCTCACACCAGCTCTAGACTAAATTGGGTGCTCAGACCCAGGTGCTGATCACCTGAGTTAACTCTGCAGTGAAGAGTCTGATGCCTACATCAGATTTTACCACAATGTTTTGAACCATTCCAACTTTGTCAGTTGGTATGTTGACACTCCTGGACATCTTTCCCTCAGCATAATAGATTAATGGATATGTCTTCATACTTAAAAAGCAACAGAGGGTCCTGTGGCACCTTTGAGACTAACAGAAGTACTGGGAGCATAAGCTTTCGTGGGTAAGAACCTCACTTCTTGCATCTGAAGAAGTGAGGTTCTTACCCACGAAAGCTTATGCTCCCAGTACTTCTGTTAGTCTCAAAGGTGCCACAGGACCCTCTGTTGCTTTTTACACGGCTACCCCTCTGATACTTAAAATGAAGAAAACATTCTCCCTGAA